TGTAAGGGCGGGGGGGGGGGGGTCGGGTGACCCGCTGACATTAGGGCTCTCCCCAATCTATAGCCACGGCCCCTGGACGTCAAGTTCGGTTTGCAACAATTAAACAATTCGGTAAAAGAAAAGAGAAACCAAACACATCCTGCTCCCACCGATGTTCAGTTATTTAGAGAATTTAAAATAAATCAATTCTGTCAAAATCGGCATGCAGTGTTGCCGAAGTGCCGTTAAAACACTAAATTCCAAAAATAATTGCAGTTTTCTGTACAAACGTGGTTTTTGGTGTCTTAGTTTCAGGAAACCTTTCCACGTTGACTTGTTTGCTGAAGAGCTCCAAGGCATCTGGGAGAGAACTCCTTGTGCTACAATGTGGATTCTGGGAATGTTCTAGGGTGCGGACATGATTCATGCTGGGCACGGGCTAGACCTCTTGATCCTTAGCATGTTTCCATGTAAATGGAGTGTATACCCTTATGTGCGCACACATCATTCCTGGACCTTGGAACAGGGACATGGGAAATAGTGAATGAGCTATCTTTCAGGTTTCCCAGCTACATGGGATCTTCCCCTTGCAAAACCTTCCTAAACTGTCAGAGAACCCCAGGTTTCCCCAGAAGTCAGTTTGAAAGACACTGTGCTATGATAATTATAAAGCATGAGGCATGGGAAATCATTCTTATCTGCCCAGAGTTTAAGGTGAGATTCAATCTGCACATTTGATCTGCACAGACCAACCATGATTATCTGTTATCAGCCCAGGCAAATATATCAAAAGGACAGCAACAGTGGATGGTGAGGAATGGAACAATTTATGACAAAAATAATCGGCCGTAATGCTTTGAACGTACGATTTCATTATTAGTAGTAGTTCAGAGATGTATTATGGGCAGCTTTGGGAAATGTATTGGCACTGGTGTAGTTCTCAGAGCCAGTTTGGTGTAGTGATTAGGAGCACAAACTCTAACCTGGGAGAGCCGGGTTTGATTCACCACACCTCCACATGCAGGTGGTGATCTGACCTTGGGCAAGCCACAGTTCTCTGATAGCTGTTCTCTCGAGCAGTTCTCAAAGTGCTCTCTCAGCCCCACCTACCTCACAAGGGTGTCTGTTGTGGGGAGAGGAAGGGGAAGGAGATTGTAGCCCACTCTAAGACTCCGAGTGAAGGGTGGTAGAAATCCAGTCTCCTGCTCCTCCTCATCCCCCTCTTCAAAAGGCAAAGACTAGCGGGCTTCCGGTCTGGCTTCCGCGAATGGCGGACGCATCCTCGGGGTGCTCCCGAGGGCGTCTCGCCCGCCCGCGGTTAAGGGGGGAATCCGCGCGAGCGGAGACCCAGACGAGCCCCAGATGGGGGGCTCAGACCCGGGGCGCAGCAGGCGGGAGCCTCTTTCTCGGCCAAACGGTCGGAAATTGAGGATCCC